CTAATAAATATTTTTAAAAATTAACTATTGAATTTAATATTTTATTCATATTGATTATGCATGTTCATTTTTATATTATAGAATATACCTAACTGATTTATTAATTCTAGAAAATTTAATATAATTAAATATGTCTTAAAAAATATAAGTTTCTTGGTTGAATAATCATAAATATTAAATTAATTTAAAATTTGATATATATAAAAATTATTTTAACAAAATATTAAATCTTAAATATTCATTAGATGGTTGTGTTTTTGAAGTTGTAACTAATTTTTTAATGAATGTTGAAAAGGATATATGCTATTTTTCTTTTTAAATTCTACTAAAATTTGTCTTCTCTCGTACATAAAATTGGCAGACAAACCCCCCAATGTGCTTTAGGTGTAGCAGATTTGGCGACTGTTCATGAATTCATCACTAGACATAAAATAACCAATGGTAGGATTGATTGGTAAATTATTATGATTTTATAGATTAGAATTAGGGTTTAAGTCTTGAAATTGGTATCTAGGAAATTTTTTTTTTTTTAATTTACTAAGTAGATATGGAGGTGTACTTTTAGGAAGTATGGGTCCTAAGATATACAAAAATTAATTTAGGAAATAAGGACATTTTAACTGTTTAAATAAAAGAAATTAAAAGTTATTAAGTGAAATTATGAATACATTATTGTACACAAGTTAACCACCTAAATAACACGATGATAATCAACTTTCAATAAAAGAAAAATTTTGAATTTGGGTGGCATAAGACATTAATATGTAATTAAGGTGAGTTGAGGGATGAGGGTTTGCCTTCTCAATTGTGCCCAACCTTAGAAAATAATAGTTCTGTCCCTTGGATTCGAAGTTTAAGAAGGATGAAGGGGATTTGGGACAGATAGACCGTCATTTTGTAGGCCATCATTATGTGCCAAAAAGATTAACCTCAAAGCTTTAGTATGACAGTTTATTATTAAAATCAAATATTTATTTTTGATTCTTTTAGTTAATTACTATTTTTCATGGATTTTAGTTAATTATTATTGATTAATTTAAAATGACTTTTTTACTGATACTCAAATTTTCACTCCAAAAGAATGATATAATATGCAGAGAACATATCACTTACATTGAACACTTTCAAATGCATTTACATTTCAACGAAAAGGTTATTTATTTAGGTTATATTTGGGAATATGTATTTGTATTTAGAATGTGTTTTTTAAATACATATATTTTAAAATACATTGTTTGGATTAAAAAAAAAGATTTTTAAATATGTGTATTTTTTAATATATTGTTTTGATATTTTAAAATACTATACATTTAAAATTGAATTTTTCCTATTACATTAAATTTTCTTCTAATCATTATTTAAATTTAATAAGATCAAAGTTAACAATTTTAGTCTTCCAAAACATTATTTAAATTACCTCAAGATAAACAAATTGAATATATATATATATATATATATA